CATTTCGAAAAACGTTCTTGCCCTAGCATCAAATATTTAACACAATGTAGTATGGATCTACTGTTGTTTATTCCTCATTTGAATTGAAAATTGATACTTTTAACATTCGCCTGTGACAGTCAGAATTGAAATCCTGTGACTGTTTGCCACGTAGGCCTACATTATGTGTAATCAGCGGTAGCTATAATTTGAAGTTCAAGTAACTTTACCAGACAGTTTTTCACGAGTTCTTTCAAGAGATCGTTAGCAACGTGATTTTGTTCTCGATCACACGCAGCACACGCGGCTTGAAAAGACTTTATGCATATCCTTACAATTACATGTCCCTAAATGCAGAAAGAAAATGTCATGCTAATAGATTTTTTCCCTCGTGTTGATTCTGTCTATAGAATTAACTTACTGTACCTCTAGCTTACATGCAGCATCACGATTATGTAACTACAAGAAGAACGGTGTTAAAGCACACAAATTAGCCTATACAAATCCACACAAAAAATGTATCATTCTCGTGGTATATTGCGAGACTGCTAACGTTAGTGGTGAAACATGGCGAAGTCATACATGTTGGTGACTGCTCTATTCCGACACCCCTATGTTCCGACACCGCTATGTTCCGACAACCTAAATGCACATAAGATTGTGTTACTCCCGGTGAGGGTTAGGGTGAGGTTTATAGGTTAAGGGTTAGGGTTAGGGATATGTGCAGTCGGAACATAGGGGTTTCGGATCATAGGGTAGTCGGAACATGGGTTGAGTAGTCGGAACCTAGGGGCCGGGGGTGTCGGAACATAGAGGTACGTGTAACCATACATGTTTACGTTACATATCTAGTGTGGACATTCCTTTGTTTTGAACAAAAAAACTCGTTTTACTCACACTGTGAAAACACTTTCAACCCATGTTTTTCCCCTATGATTCCCTTTATCGTTTTTCTTCATTTTGCCACAGATAAACCTAACCCCAAAATGCCTCTAAACTGTTTTCCAGAGAGGGGGAAATACTGTGTGGACGTGGACAAGTCCACACAACGTCGCTGGTACCTGGTTAATGTGGACCTCTTTTGTTCGGAAGTCCACATAGTGACTGTAATGCTTGAACACTATGGTTCGTTCTTCAGTGTCCTGTGTTTAAACCGATTCTAAATCTGACTTTCCGTTGTATGGTTCCTTTTCAAAGTATAGGAATCCATTTCGTTATTCTTTTCACCTACCTCAAGAGCTTTTGACATACACACAAAAAGTGAAAGTATATGTGTTCGCTAGTAGTAAATCGGCCGACTACATTTTCTTCTTTTAAATAAACCTGCAGACTTTACTGTTCCCCAACCAGTAGACAGAAAGTGGAGGTGGCTAACTGTTTTCGGTGACGCAGTTCTCAAAGATATAATAATTAATCGAAACAAAAAAATGATCAAGCTTTTTGCCGACATTTTAGAAATCGTTTGTAAGTTTTGCTGAATTTAAAGAATTTCGTCCAGAAATTTCAATAAAAAACTTACATAGGCCTATTACGCCTAACTACCGATTGCGTATAAGGCTTACAAATTCAAAACTTGTTGCAAGATAGTGAAGGCAACTGGCGTCTTCTTCTGCTTTCCCATTCGATCGTCTGTGGGTGGATCCCATGAACACTTATTCAAATCGTTTGTTTTTGCGAACTTGGAATTATTCCAAGGCAAGTCAAGTCGCCATTCTCTGTCGGCACCTGCACCGCGCGCGCATTACGCGGCAACACCTGATATCCCCGGACCCCCGCGCCCCCCAAGCGCGGGAAAATTTTCCCGCCAAATCGATAACGTGGTCTTTTCTACGTACGTACACCGATGTGGATGGCATACAAGTTTCCTCTGTTCCTTCGCAAATGACGCCAGTTCAACGATCGGAACATTTTTTTCCCACTCCGATTCGCGTTACACCGATACTTCACCGGAGAGAAAAAAAGAAGGACATTTGAGGTATCATCATTCGCGACAGTTCCGCTGCCGCAAGAACCATTAGCAGAGATGTTTTTCGCCGAGTTTTTTTTTTCAGGCTCGAATTGTAGCAATAACCGACGTGACTTCAGTGCAAATGTGCGTGTTATTCTTCGCGTCCATTAATTTAATTTTAGGAGTCATTTGTCACAGCGAGCTCATAGTGATGAAAACAAGTCTTCAAGTGTCTGCATTGTTTTTGCCTTTTTATCGTTTTTATTGTATGGAAGCGACTCGAAGACATTTCGCACTGATCAAATCATCACTCTTAGCTTCATATCTTTTTTTTTTCTGTTTCAGAAATGAAGCACGATCTGAGGTAAATGACATGGGGTAAGAAAGAGTGTGGAGACGGCAACTGCAAATTTGCTCTAGTATAGCCTGGATCGCAACTTGTGTAAACTGTAGCAATACGATGAAACCTCTCAGCATCAATTTCAGCGCAGCGACGGTACAGGGGACAACTTGTTAGATGTTTTTATTGTAGGTGGTGCAGCGGGCATTCATGTTTAAAACAACGTCCTGTAAGTCACTCACGGTCAAGAAGGGCAGGCGAGTTGAGAGCGTACCGCAGGGATCGAGGAAGGATCAGCCTCGGTCAGATGTCCCCCGCAGTGCAGAATATCAAGTGGACGCCTATACCGTGCTCGGGTTATGTCGAACAAGTTGCCCCTGGGGAAAAATCTGTAGATAGGGGGTTATTCGCCGTTGCGTGGCTATGACGTCATTCAGAGGTCATTGTATAAGTACGTAGAAATAGGAATAAACAGTATGAACATGTTTGTCATATATGAACATTAGAGTCAGTGGCAGATCCATGTTGGGTGGGGGGGGGGGTGAGGGGAATGAGCTCCCCCTCCCCACTTTTGCCAAATGTGCCTCCTCCCCTTTCCACTTTGAACTAACTGAAAGGTGGTTCCAGTCTCGCCAGCATTGAACAGCGCCCCCATGGTCATGTTTGTATCTTTTATGGGTTGAAATTTGTCAAGAATGTTCCTGATTTCGTTTTTTTGGAAAATCCCATGTAAAATGTGGATTGGTGAGATTTCAAAATAAAGGTTTCTTTACCTATAAAAATAAAATAGATGGGTATTTTAAAGGGTGCCTTTACAGACGTGATTATGCCATTGACCCTATTTTGTTCTAGGTCCCTCGTCAGCCCCAAACCCTCTGCTGATTTTTTTCGTGGACGTTTCATTTTCTCCCAATCTCTACCCTGACATTTTAGCAAAGTAATTTCTAATTTTGTTACCACGTTTAAGTAAAGCTCCAATTTAATTTGAGATAAATTAGGCCCACGAGTACGATCGCAGCATACGAAGGAGCATTTTGTAGTTAATGAAATATTGAGTTGGCCGCAAACGGAATTAAAAAAAAAAATCTATCATATTTAGAGGCCAGCGAGCGAGATGTTTGGTTGACCTTGATTTTAAATTTCTCAGCACGAAGAAAGAGATAATCTGAAGCATCTCTTTTTCATCAGCGCTTTTTTTTCCCTTCCACGATTCTTTCCGTGTCAATGTGCACCAGGGCAGCGCTCACAACAGGGGGTCATTGGAACGCGTTTCACCGCTCCAGCATCTATTATTCCCCTCGTCCGTTCATCCCAACCGCGTCCCCTTTCCCCGTTGAATGAATCACTGTCTTTCGTCTGAAGAAATAAAAAATGATGTATTCCACTCCGCCGAGCAGAAATAACACTCCAGTTTCCAGCTTTTTGCAAGTTTTCCATTTTCGTTGTCGTGACAGGAATACTCCGGGTTCCATTAAAAATCGGTGGCAGGGACGAACCTGAAAGGAAAGAAAAGAAAACGGGGACTTGTCAGAGTCAGATTCATTCAAAGAGTTATAGGTCTATGGTTTCATACAATGTTCGGCGGTGAGATGGGTTAGTTGATAGTCTATGCGTGTTCATGCTGTACATTAAGCATTTGACTCATGTGAAAGCGTCTCTCATAATTGACAGCGTGTTATCCATTTAAGTTCATGGTATGTTGCTGAAGAAGGTGTGTACGTGACACTTATGTTTGAGATATTGACTTTCACTAATGGGACACCTTGCTCTATGGTGATACCTATGGCATGATTCATGTGAAACCACTGGCGTTTTAAGCCAGCCTCCCCCGCCCCATTCCATTTTTCTCTTCAGGAAATGAAAGTGCCAACACCCTACAACCACTGCTAGCAGTAATACGCACCCCCCCCCCCCCCCACATTACGAACGACAAATTAGAACCTAATTTCAGAGAAAAAAATGATTAACTTTTTTGTTTTTGCCCATCCAGGTGACCCAAAACCTGGATGGGCAATGCAGTGTGTGAATAGTGAGACAATGAACCAAAGGATTACATTAGTTTTCTTTGCTACTTTTTCATTTTTTAGGGAATACAGTAAAAAAAAAATTACCGCCATTTTACGATCTCTTAGCATTGAAGCCCCTTAATGATTTTTATGTGGACAGATCATTGTGTGTGCGTTCCGAGTTGTGAGAGCTGTTTACACGAGAGCGCCCTCTATTGAACCAATATTCTCAAGCGGATATCCGTATTGTATTACATTCACGGATGTCATATTGTTACATTGTAATTCTTTGTGTCAATCCTCATCCTTTGTATATCATTAGTGAATCAATAAATTAAGACCGATTCAAAGAGCGACAATACGTTTCAAAATTCTAAACTAACCGAAGCAAGATTTGTCGACGGAACCGGTCATACGCCGTAACATTTTTAAACAAGCATTTCTCGTTTTATTCATGTGTCGTTGGAGATTTTTAATTGTTTTGTTTCATTAAAAGCCACACCGCATGATCCCAATGAATGTCTATCCTGCAGTTTCGGCAAATCAGGGCATTGCCAGCGAATGACACACGTTGATTGGACCACACTGCGAGAGTTATATGCAAATAAAGCCAGCTGCTCTGTCATTGGTCCGTATGTAATGAGATGCGTGAGAGCGGGGACACGCGTGTACGGATCTTGCATGCCTGCCTTGTATGTATTGATCGTTCGTACACATTTGTTTAGTTTGCTACATGCATGCTGGATATACGTGTACTTGTACATTGTTATTGTGTACCGCTTGGGTGATGAGACACCTGTGATGTGATGTTGAGATTTCAGTGAATTTTTAACTGGGAAATTACGCTTAAAACTTGGATATTTGTGGTTGAATCATGGCCAAACCTGTACATCGCGCTAGCCAAGTCCTGTGGAATGATTAGTTGAGCATGGTAAGTTTGCAGAGATTTGTTTATTTTTCCATTACGGCGTGTACCATGGTCCGTACTCTTCGAGTTTTTCACCGTGCACGTGTTGTTGATTGACCGGGGGATCGAGGGGGCTGGGCCGGGCCAGAATGCCGGTAGCAGCAGCCGCTCGTGCGGCACGCCCGTTGCGATCTTTCCGCGGTGAAAATGGCATATTAAATTGTGTATGAATTACACAATAGAGAAAATGTATCCAAGTACAAACTGACAATACTTTGTGATGATTGTTGAGTCTACATGTAGTTGTTGCTTTTGTTTTGTGGAGTTCTTTAATATTTTTCAAGCCAATGTTTTCCAACCAATTAGAGTTTGAAAAATAGTAGGGCACAGTCTTGAATTTGTGTAGGCCTATGTGTTTTAGGGAAAAATGTTGTAACCTGACGCCACTTCAGCGATTGTTTACAAAGTCTTTGGAGAGTCAATAAAATTTTCTAACTATTTCCTAACAAAATTGGAAATGTTTCTCAGTCCCAGATTCATGTCTTATCATCATTTTTGCAACAACTGACCTTCATTGAGATGATATATGAAGAGAAAAGTGGCTTCAGGTTGCAACATTTTTTTCCGTGTTGGATTTTAACAATATTTTAGCAAAACAATAAGTGCACCCTTTAAATTAAGAAATTGTTCTACTGTTGTGTGGTACATGTAGACTAGAAGGTTCACGGTTAAATTATCAAGATAATTGCAGGGTTGGTTTTGGGGATGAATTTAGAATAAGATGTGATTGAAAAAAAAAGACCAAAGAAATTAACACTTAACAGGTTGTTGAATTCCTTTCTTTTCTCCCAAAATGGATTGTTTAGTTCCAGTGTGAGTCATCATTGTTTTGTAATGGTAAGCTGTTGCAGAAAAATATGTGAATTTTTTTTGTACAAAGAGTAGGACTACAGATCCCCATTGACCATGTGAAGGAAAGTGGTGTCTTTCTATTCCAGTATTTATGATTCTTTTATGATCATCATTTATTGGGTAATCTGTCATGTCGAGGAGAACTGAATTTCCCAAGTGTGTCATTCTTTTCTCAAATGTTCCATCATGTGTGTGTGGGAGGGGAATTTCACTGGAAGAACTGCTTTTAGTCTTGATATCTTCAGCATTGTTGAAAGAGTGCTTGCTTGCATGATTACGAACAGACGCTGGAAAAAACTTGCAAGAGTAGAGATGTATTATGAAATGGAAGAAATAAGGTCAGTTTGTGGTAACAAACTTGTGCAATAGTGCAGAGATTTGAATCCAATTTCACTAAACTCATAATGAACTGCACATTGTCTTTTTAAAATGTGTATCGCTGTGATGGATGGAAACCATTTGCAAACATTCAAAAATGAAACTGCCAAAATATCATGAAATATCCCTTGTGATTGTAAGTGAGTAATAGGATCATGCATCCTTTGAAATTGAAATCTTGAAATCTAGGGCAATGTGTCCTGTCCTTTGTCGAGAAAAGAGGAATTACCATCATTTCCTCGTGATGGTTTAGAGTCTTTAGACCACCAAACCACCTTTCAGCGGAAACCTATGCTTTGCATCAAGATTTTTTTTACAGTTTCCTCAAAACCTATATACATGTAATATCTATTGAGCTGAAATTTGAACAGGTTAGTTTTGTAATAACCTGGTTCAGATTCATTGTATTGTTGTTCCTTGAATCGGCCAAAAACTTTTTTTGTATGTGCACAGATGATGGCCATAGCCTATAATTCGCACTTCGCAGCCTTCTAAAATTACTTATTAAATTTACGCCAAGTAAAAAAAAAAATAGGCCTACCAGTTGATCGTCCCCACCTGCTTCCTTCTTGGGGGCTGCATCAATTTCTTTTCTTTTTTTATTTCAGGTATGATATTTTTTAAAAGATATTTCAGAAGTTCAGAGGCTAATAGCTTTACTAATGTTCAATAAACACTTTAAGAAGGTTTTGTGGTCATCAAGTAATATACAACTACCCAGAACTATCCAACAAAAGGGCCTCCTCCTTTTTAAAACACATCATCGTGTAAGTTAAATGGCTATTTTAGCCTATTTTTCAATAACAAATAAATATAGGCACTCATCAGATCATCCTCCACTTTGTGAGGGAAAAAAAGACCTGGGTCGATCTACTGCTGTGTGTTTTTACTCGGCCTTTTTATAGGTGTGGCTTTCCACAAGATTTCGTTTTAGTACTCAAAAACACAATATTAGAAGCATCTGGAATTTTTAACTGAGTGTTAGCACAAAATCAAATTGGGATCATGTGCATCACGTTGGTACTGGCAATTAAATGGCAATTGTAATGGGTCACACATGTATTCTCCATCACGTTGTCCTCGATTTGTTTCCCCAGTCAATTTCATAATCACCTAAAGTACAGTAGAATTATTCATAGAGCTGCAGTATGGTAAACACTTTGTTGAATTAAAGGGACACTGGGTCCTAGAACAGCCCAATTGGGCTACAAAACATGCTTTGAACGAAATGATGTTAATCTGAAAGAACATTTAAATGTAGGATATAGGCCTAAACATCCACACAACTATCCTTTCAAAACTGGGCGTTTTTGTGTTATTCCTGTATTATGCGTGTGTGAACGAATTTCGGGGTCCACTTTTGCGACCCAAAAAATTCGAGCTGTTTTGATGATAGTTGTGATTTCATCCGTAAAGTGTTCGCCTTTTGCGGATGTGTAAGAAACCATATTTTGTGCATTGGTGATTGGTCACCACGTGCTGTTCGCGAGCACAGTGCTGTGTATACATATCTACGTACATTGACTGAAGTGAAAGTGAAAACGACAGGAAAAGTATATTCGTACTTCGTCGTGTCCGATGTAAACAACCGAGGTTTTTTCGTCTTTTCTGGGGAACGGTATTAAAGGCATTAGGTTGGTTTCCTTTGAACCAGATGTTTGAAATATAGATAAGTAAACAATTCAAAACATGAAATTTTCGGGGATTTCAGGACCTAGTGCCCCTTTAATATACAGCCATGGATGGTAATTATAGTTACGAAAGCACTGCAAGTCACTTTACCATCATGGCACAAGTGTGCAGCCTGAAAGTAAAGCATGATCAAGTGAAATTAAGTATGTGGTCAACTTCAAGAAGTCAGCACTCCACTCAAGTGCACATGGCCAGCAGCAGTAATTGGTCACTTGTCCTTGGAAGTCTAGAGGGTCTATGGTTTCCATGGTGATTGTTCCAGAAATGTGGGAGAAAATTCACCAGTGTTCTTGGAGTACCTGCGCTTAAAGCCCTAATAGATCATTTGTTTGAAATTATTGAGATAGACTTTGCAAGTCTGAGTAAAATTGAACTTGCTCTCTAAAGCCCGGTTCATACTTCATGCGAAAGCGAATGCGAAGCGAATTTGACGTCATAAAACTTTCGCTGCGAAATTCGCCCGAGTTGAAATATGTTCAACTCTTACGAATTCGCAGCGCGAATACTTGCCACGACGTCACAAATTCGCGTTCGCTTTCGCTTAGAGTATGAACCGGGCTTAAATCCCCAAAAGGGAACCTACATGTATAGGAACTAGACGATTAAGAGTGAAAATCACATTCATTTTAGATTGAAATAAAGTGACAAAAAAAATCATTTCAGTCGAAGCTGGAGTGAAAACGCAATCTTTTGTCACTAGTTCATGTAGTTTCAGTCAGTGGGAGTGAATTTTTATGCGAACCAGTCTTTGGAATTTAGAGAGTTGTGCAAAACAAGTTGAGAAATTGTTCTGTCTGACAGCTTTTGGTTTAATCATTGGGTGTTATTTTATAGGATCCAGCTAAGGCAGTTAATTCCAGTATCCAAACAGTTATCTTAAGTTAAAGGCAAGGATACATTGAGGCCCCACTAGATTTGATTATAGGGTGTATACACAATTCATCCTTCGAAAGCTGCAAGAATGCACTAAATCAAAAACTGCCTAGCTTGACACTTACATTACAATCTAAAGCTAAAATGATCTCTGCAAGCTACTGTAACTGCATAAAGAATAGTCTAACCTCATGCAAGCAGTACATACAATTACACAGTGGGTTTATTATTTTGTATCAAATTTTTTCAGTTTCAGTTCTTGAACAATTATATTACCCCCCCCCCAAAAAAAAATCCACTCGCCCACTCAAGAGGCATTTTACAAAGGTCCAACTTTGTAATCATGTTTGAGAAAAAACTCACTGGATCAACTTTCAAATTAGGTTTTTGCTCTTCATCTGCACTAGAAAGCAGAAGGTCGTGTGTTCAAGTCCCACCCGAGTGATTTTTTCCAACTTTCACTCAGGAGGTAACACACTGAGTATACAGTGTTTAATTGTCGGTGAAGGGCAAAAATCTAATTTGATTTATATCACCCTGACGCAAAATTCCAATTTCCATCTTAAAATGGTTGAACTTTCACAAATAGTAGGGGCCTAAAATATGAAATCAACGAAAACATGTCCAGATTTCATATAGGCCTACCGGTAGGCTAATATAGGGCTATTTACGTGATTCATTCAAGCAGTTTGAACTTTTTACAAAAGCTGAAGTCAGATTTTTGAATTCCTGCGGAGATTTTCATAATTGTGTGTGTGTGGTGCAATGAGGTCCACCTAATAAGTCCCTCCAAGCCCAGCCTTTTAGCTCCAGGCGTCAGTAAGACCCCTGGTTCATTGACTGCCAACAATAGGCCTACCGCTTAATCCTGTCAGGTATTTAAAACCGGCCAATGCACAAATCCCCTATCCAAATCACACTGCCCACTCCAGTGGAAATTTATAAAGCCTTAAAGTCCCTTTTATTTTATTTTCATTGCCCTTTCCCCTAGAGGTACGACTCTTTGCCCCGTAGGCCTGGCACTGATTTTCTTTTCGGAAATGTAAGGGGGAAACGGCGATTTGTTGACCCGAATTGTGATTGAAAGATAGAAAAAAAAGCTACTTGACTGGCACTTTGGCTTTTCGATTGTGAGTGGAGAAAACTCAACCTTTATTCAGCTCTAGCCCTATTCAAAACTTTTTTGATGTCCGTAGAGTCTAGGGGATACTGCACGGTGTGTGGTTGGGGTGCTGTGGCCAGGTCCCAGAAATGTTGTTTTGTGTTTCTGTGTGGTTTAGTGGAATAATTGGAAGATTGGCAGTGGTGGTAAAGCGGTTTCAAGCATTCATGGAAAAAGCCTGCAGAGGTAGTGTCTAATGATTCACGTCTGTCAAACAGTTTTTGTAATAGCACCTTGCCATCTTCAAATCAGACACGGAGGTTCTGTATTTGATAATTACTCTTTCACTAGAACTTTCACTGGAAACTTGTAATTGAATCACTGTGTTGGATGTGTTGAAGGGAGGGAGGGGCGGGGCTTGTGGACAGTCCCCTTATTGTTGAATCTTCTGATACTCAAAACAAAATTCAGATAGGCTAATGTGTAGGATGTAGACTCTTTCACTAGATAATTGTACATGTACATTTGAATCACTACATTGGATGTGTTGTAGGGAGGGACGGGCGGGGCTTGTTGACTGTGGCCTTCTTGTTGAATCTTCTGATACACACAAACAAATTAAATAATGTGTACATTTGTAAGGTGTAAACTCTTTCGCTAGATAATTGTACATTGGACAATCGCTACGTTGGATGGAGTGTAGGGAGGGAAGGGGCAGGGCGTGTGGACATTCCCTTTTTCGTTGATTCCTCTAGCAAACACCTCTTCAAACCAGGAATTCTCTACATTTTTGTAAACTTTTGATTGTAGGATGCCCACAGAATCTTTCAGAAAAGTCGTGCTATGTGTGCACTTTCTGAGATGAGATGCACTTCTCTCCATGTACCCCGGTGAGATCCTGACTGGGTAAAAGGCCAATTAAAAGTTGAAAAGGTGACAATTTGGTAACTCAGGGACATCTTTGCTGGGAATGCTGGCATTGAAAAGTATGCTCTCATAACCTGTGTGGTTTATTTGGAGTAGGCTACACTGCACCTTGAAATTTGACACACAACTTTGGCAATCTTGAAGTTAGATGTATAGGTGTGTATACTCTGGATGAACTTACTCCTAATGATTTGTAAATTAAGTTAGTTTAACATTAAAAAGGAATCCTTGATTCTTTAAGTGTAACTTTCAGGGCAGATTGAGTAAACATAATGTCACTTTTCATAATGGGGGTTTCTTTTCACTATAGTTCTTAAAACTTATAAACGGATCTAGAATTTTTTTCGTAATACATCCATAGATCAACACGCACATGACTCACCAAATTAAAATCCGAGTGACTTCCCAAAGAAATTAGCATCACCAATCAGATGGGCCTCAACACCCCCTCCCCCAACATTCCCAAAATTCACAATGCACATTATAATGAATTCCTGACAACCTGTTGATCGTCTGCACAACCTCACAAACTGTTTATTAGAAATCATCATTCACATTTTCGTTGATAAACAAGCTTCGGAGCTACTTTTGTACCATGATATACAATGTAGGTGTGATGTCATCTGAAGTTTAAATTGGAGTTGTTAAGGCAAGGCACTGACCGAACTTATGGGCAGTTGCGGTGGATAATTTCTCCCGAAAACAAAAGGATGTAGAACTGCCAATGTCCGGCTCTGTCACTGGTCGATTTAGTCAGCAGTTTATTTAACGAGGAAGCACTTCACATGTTTCAACGCCCTAGTTGCACCGAAATGTGCCGTCCTCTTCCGTCCCAGCCCCAGGGTACGGCTTCATCTGAATGGAAAATGGGAAATAGCTGATCAAGTTTGATATCCTGTTATTGCACTTGGGAGGGTTATACAAATTCCACACTGTGTTGTGTTGGTTCAGTAACCGTGATATGTCCAATGTTGAAGATTTGTGTACGTGCATTGTTGTTACTTACTTCTCGAGATTTTGATATTCTTATGTGTATCAGCTTACATGTACATGTAGCACGTGTATACCGGTATACTTATTATGTGGCTGCCTACATGTAGGCCCCTATGTGATGGAAAAACAATACTTTGTACCATATCACAAGGCGACAACTTGTTTATAGTTCATCAATTTTTGAGGACTTTTGAACTCTCCAAATAGTTTTTCTGTTATGATTCATCAAACTTATTAGGCCTATTGGCAATTTTGTTTTTACAATTTGAATTTGATACATGCTTCTGAATATACCCCAGTACTCTTTGATGGACTTCATTTAAGTTTTGTCGAGCCTGAATTCTTCTTTTTTGTTGTATTTTACAGAGATGCAGAGATTGAACCTTCAACCTTAAAATCAAGTGTGCGAGTCAAAGAATAAAACTTACGAGCAGACTTAAAGGAATCACACAACCCGTCTCTGAATGGCAGGCATTGGAACATTAAACTCTGCGTTTGAACGGATGCAGATGGCCAGTCCCTCATCCTATGAGTCCGGTGGTTCATCCTCAGCGAGCATGAGTCACTCCTCAAACTCACGCTCCAACTCCTCGGCCTCCCGGAACTCGTCCATCTCGCGCAACTCGTCAGCCTCGCGATGCAGTCGGGCCAACCACAGCACGGGCCACGACTGGGATGGGGCCCACCGCGGCAGCTTAGACACACTCAACACCAGCGTCGCCGAGGAGTTTTTAGAGTACGGCGAGCGGCTCGACCGCCTGACGGAACTGGACAAAGTCCCCTGGGGGGAGCGGCACGTCGCACGGGTGCTGCAGACCGACCGCGTCCGACAGATCATCAAAGCCATCCCTTATGACGTCATACAGAGGTTATCCTACCTCCTGCAGCGTCCCTTGGTCAGAATCGCCAAGGAAGCGCAACGGCTGAGTCTTGCTTACGGCAAGTGCACCAAGAACGAAATCCACACCGCGATCAAGCTAATCCTATCCCAACCCTTGTCGGAAGTCTGCCTGTCGGCCGCGCTGCGCGCCCTCTCGCTCTTCCAAATGAGCTCCGAGTGCTGCCAGGACAGTAAGAAAACCCGCGCGGGGCTCACGTTCCCTGTCGGCCGATTCTACCGCTGGCTGGTCGACACCAAAGTCTCGACCCGCGTGGACAACCACGCCGCTGTGTACCTGGCCGCCTGCATGGAGACGCTCATGGTGGAAACGTTTTGCCGCGCCTGCGTGGACTACGAGAGGTCCGATGGCGAGCTCACCCTTGCAGTCTTGGAGTACGGCATCGCCAATGACATGAACCTGTGGGGTATCTTGCAACCATTTGAATATCTGATCTGTGGCAGGAACTCTTCAGGTAAGCCTGCTTGATTTCTTCTTTTTGTTGTTAAACAGCAGTGATATGTGGTGCAGAGTTTTTGGAGTAGGCTTTTACTCTATCCCTTATTACTTTAGCCATAAATTTAGGAGTAAGTGTCACCATTTGTTGGGGTTTGGTGACCATGGGTTTGAATCCAGTTGCTAGCCATTGGTTTGTGTCCTTGGGCAAGCCACCTACAATGTACATGTATGCGGCTCTCTCCATGCAAGAGTTTAAAAATTGGTTTTAGAATTTTTCTTAAAAATACATGTTCATGTGCAGTTTGCATGTGACTTGGACAAGAAAAAATGGACAAAATGGGAATTCGACTGGAACACTGCGTGTACTTGTACAAAAGTTTGTAGATCATTGGGGGACAGAAACATATTTTGAGTACTTTTAATAGTTTTGTAATACCAAGGAAATTGGATCTAAAAATTATACTCAAGACTGCTCAGCCGAGCAAAGTAGTTTAGTTATAGAAGCTATTTATTGATAGGACAAATATTAAACTTAAACTGAATGATGATAATGAGACGTGATTTTGTACAGGACAAAAATAATGATGATGTTTACTGGCCTAAGACGGACTTGACTTTCTTGCTCATTTTGTACATTACATCATATGTGTACATCACGTGGTAAGCCACTGGATTGGCCGACGGCCAAAACAAGCTGCCACATCCTGCAGGGGCATGGGTTTTAGCCAGCAAAGCGTCTTCAATTCCGGTCTCTTTCCCGTCAAATCTGGGTCAGCTGGTTTGTTTTGACTCACCGGACTGTCCCTTTTTTGTTGAAACAACTTGGTCATGAATGTAAATAAGGACTGTTTCCTGAGAGCAATGATTTTTGAAGACAATCCACAGTTGATCCTGTTAAAGTAAACAGCTGTTTGATCGAACAAGTAAAATTGATAATTTGCCCCAAATTTCTCACATCTACACGCCAAAATCAAACCAACAAAGAGTATTTTGGTACAATGGACATGTTGAATTTTCCAAGCAAAAACTAAACTGTTGACAGGAATTCACACCATAGTTGCTTTGAAAGTTGTATTTTGTGAAATGTTAAGGAAGAAATGTTCAATGTTGCTTTGAAAGGCAAGCTGTGACTTCTATTCTAAGATTATTTTGGTTGTTTGTTGCATGAAACATAAATTCTCTGTTTGTGCACCACTTGGAACATTTTTTGTTTTGTACACAATAAAATGGTGACTGTAGGGGCCTACAGCATCCCAAGTCCGGGTACATATTTGGATCATTCTTTAAATTTGGGGTCCACTTTTTTCCTGTCCCTGTTACATCTGACATCTGTGATTTTGTAAATTCCGGATGCACTCCTTAATGTGTTCTTCTTCTTCTAAGTGTGATTTTGTAAAGCAAATGACCTACTGGTACCGGTACTCAAGAAATAAAAATATGTGGATGTCATTTTTAATGGCAATTGAATGGCAAATATCACACTTTGGACCCTTAAGTTATAGAATGACCCATATTACAAGTGGTTGCATGTTGAGTGCAAAATGTAGTACATTTTTACCTAGTTTTCTTTCATCATCTAGTTTCCATATCGACATCTAGTTTCCATGTTGACATTATTAAGCATAATGCCGACTGCGCAGACTGTGCGGAACCGACCACAAAGTTGAAGCAAGTTCAACTTTTCTGATCAGTCTGCGAGATAGTTTACATCTGTCTGGGCTGTCGGCGACATTTGCTGATGAAATGTTTCCACATGTCTGCATTGCAGTTTGGGTCTTGTTTTTATAAATTATGGTTGCATGTTGACTGTAAAATGGAAATTTTTACCTATTTTGTTTTCATCATCTACAATGTAGTTTCCATATCGACATTAAGCTTTAATATGACCCATATTACAAGTGGTTGCATGTTGAGTGCAAAATGTAGTTACCTAGTTTGCTTTCATCATCTATTGGTAGTTTCCATATATCCAAATTCAGTTACTGCGCAGACAGTGCGCCGAACCGTCCACAAAGTTGAAGCAAGTTCAACTTTTCTGATCTGTCTGCGAGATAGTTTGCATCTGTCTGGGCTGTCGGCGACATTTGCAAATGAAATGTTTCCATATGTATGTCTGCGTTGCATTTTTGGGTTGCTCTCTGCGATTCTCACCTCCATTGTATGGAAACTAGGCTTATACCGGTAGGGACGGAGAGAAAACCATGGCATGCAATTTACAACAGAATATACATGTATGTAGGCCTACCCTTGTAGGCGTATAAACTCTAATTATTGAATGGTGCATATTGTGTGAACTGCAAGTTCTGCCAAGCCTGCTCTCACCTACAGTATCATCTGCAATTCCAATTCATATTTGTTGATGATGATTACTCCCAATCCTAATCCCTTGCCCCAGCATGTCCCAGCTGGGGACTGAGCCCATCAACAATGTCTCAAGTATCAAAATGAAATTACATATCAAATTGCTTAATAACCCGGCCTGACCGGAGACCTGTGGTGCCTAGAGGGCCCCAGAGGCCACAAAGAAAACCAGGTCCCTGAAAAGATAACGAGAAAACCACCTGACCGAAGGATCTGAAGAGATGATTTTCACAGTGTGGTGTCGCTGATTATAGGATGGGACTGTTTAAGAAACAGGCTTGACGCTTGTGCCACTTCTACTCAAGTGGTTTGCTGAAGTACTTGGTCTTTGCTGTTGAGTGTTAAACAAATTAGTTCTTCCTAATTTTTGTGTGTGTGTTTTTTTTTTTTTGGGGGGGGGGGGTTGTTGGGGGGGGGGGTTGTGTGTTGAACACATGGATGATATTACAAAGCAAACAAAAAAAGAAGAAGGAAGTTTAACCTGCATTGATTGCAAGTTTGCCAAGCTGGGAGCAACTGAGTTGAGTTGGCCTGGGGCGATTTTCTTTTTACTTTCATTAATTGCCCAGAATTACTTTGTCAGCATATTTTTTCCCCCCTCAATACCCATACCGGTACATGTAACTTGCAACACATGTGGGTTAGTACCAGGTACAACAAATACGGGGCAGCACAATGTACACTTAGTTGAAAAAAGGATGCTTTAGGCTATTATTAAAAATATTGTTATTCACTTACAGTCCAGTGAGGTATTTCATTTTTGTAATTGTTGGTAATGTACCTGTAAATTGCCTCACTAACATTTTTTTGCAAGGTACCGGTAGGCCCATCCCTTCCTCCATGGTAGGCCTACCGGTACATGTGCTTTCTGAATTCATGAGACCCCCCAAAAAACCACATTTTCACTGTTTTCACAACCGCCGGAGCTTAAACTTCATCAGGTTAGTTCTAATGCACCCTACAAACAAAGTAGGCCTACTAAAGATTGTGAACAATATTTTTGGTTCAAACAAAATGAAAAAAAAATCACAAAAAGCAAATGGTCTACATTTATAATGATCTTCCAAGGGCATCAAGTCATTTGTGAAAAAGTCGTGTGGCTGTTTCTTCTTCTGCAAAATCTGTTTTCTTTAGTTTAGGTAAAAGGCGCTCTTGAGACAAACCGTGATTTAAAGAAAACACAGGCCACTCTCAGAGGGGAAAAAAACAACAAATGAATCCAAGTTATCTCAAATCCCATCTAGAGTGCAAACAGCAATCCAAAGTCAGTCAAGTAGACAAAAAAAAGATTGTAATCCTTTGCCCTTCATGCACCAAATCTGATATAAAAAAATTGTGATTATTTTACTAGATACAATATGTACTTTGTCATTGTTTGTGATAGTGTCAACTTGGATGAAATTGCCTCGCGGCAGAAAAGCCCATTTCGTGGTTGCCTGTGAGCGCTGATAAATGTAAGATACCACCGGTATTTGGTCTGCATGGTCCTCCAGGGACTGAACAGTCTCCAAAGGTCTTGATCTACACAGACATCGCTGGCCTAGATGCTCTTCTGTCTGTCTGCAGTTCTCCCATGTGGGATGGGCCCAAATTTCAGGGATCTGCCAACAAAAAAATACTGCTTTGTAAAAATTTTGAGCAAAGCGGATGATAAGATGAGCTCACTGGCTTTATAAATCACATGACTTTAACCGGTTTTGGTTACATAGATATTTTCTGTGCTTACCAGGCAGGGATGGGGGGGGGGGGGGGGGGGGGGGCGCGGGGGCACATGCCCCCCCCCCTCAAATTTAAAAGTACACGAAAAAATAAAAGGAAACAAAAAGGAGAAAAAAGAGGGGGAGGTGAGAGAATAGGATACCGGTGCCAATATTAAACATTCAGCCTGCAAACGTTGCTTACTGGCTGTATGAAACAGCGAGCTCGAGAAGCTTCGAAGAGAACTGCAATCCCACCATACCGGTACGTACCCCGTATAGTAAAGTCTGTCGCGAGCCAATGTGGCTCATCAGGCCGGTGTTTATCTCCGATTTCCTTGGCATGAAACGACAGAGAATATTTCTACTCCCCCTGAATGGGATGCCAGTCCATCGCATGTTACTCCCCAGCTAATGCCGGTACCCATTTATACTCCTGGGTGGAGACTGGAGAGGGGCAAGTGGGGGTGAAGTGCCTTGCCCAAGGACACAATATGGTCAGCGGCTGGATTCGAACCCCGGACCCTCTGATCATGAGTCACGAACCCTAACCACTAGGCCACACACTCCCCACTCGTACCCCGTATACAGTAACAAAAAATACCTTGTTTTTGACACAAACAGATCCGCTTTGCAAGCAGACTGGCTCCCGATCCATACATTATTAAGATTGTAGGCCTTCTGATTGTATCGGTAGGGCAGGAATTTTGTCCGACAGCCAATAATTTGAATTTGTAAAGTAATTCAATTTCAATAACTAACGATGGGACAATTTTTCGGTCAATGGCTCATTCAAAAGTGAATACTTTTTGTATATAGCGAAAAAAATTGCAATCAGAAAAGAAATCTATTTTACGGGATGAAACTCAACAAAGAGCGTGGGGAATGCCAGTAAATTTGGGCCCTGGTTAAAGGGACAGATGATACATAAAATGCCAGCGTTTGTCCACCGCTAATAAAATATGAATAGTAGTGTTCGTTTCGTTA